CCCAGCCCCGTGGCACCTTGCTCTAAATCGCACAACTCCTCCTGTCATAAACACACAAAAAGTTTGCTTCTCCTCCAGACAAGTGCCAGTGAACAAACCTAGGTGGCCTAGTCGCATGGACCAACCCCCCTTAGCACCCCCCAGTGTCTTTCCCTCAGGACACTGCAGCCTTGAAAATGTCCCCTGTCTTTGGCTTCCACGGAGTTGAGTTTAGCTCACCCTGGGCCCTCTTTTCTATTGCAATAGTTATGACAGAATAAGGTCCGTCCTTACCACTTTAGTGCCTGGCTTCAGTTACCTTTGACAGTTCTGTCTTTTGTGTCGATGCAGAAGGTAAACAATTGCTGGTAGTTCTAGTACTTTAACACCAGGGCAGCTCTAAATTTGACCTCAAACCACATGGCACGGCTTGTCTTCCTCCTCCACCCCACTTCAAGTGCCTCCTCCCCTGTTCTCTGACAGCTGGGGCCTTGGTTCCCTTGTTGGCAGGAAAGTTGGATATCTCTGGGTTATCTTTAGCTCCTCCCTTTTCTTGAAGCCTTCAGATTCTATCTCCTGGTTTCTGGAATCTCCCCTCCTTCCATTCTTGATGCAATTGCCCTGGGTCAGGACACATCATCTCTTGCCTAAAGGAATCTAATTACCTTTTTACTAATCTTCTCCACATAGCTCCAAAGTTGCTCCTTCTAAAACTTTCAACTGATCCTCTCACATTGCTTCCTTCTCATTATCTTTCCTGGCTCTCCACTGCCCACTGAACACAGTCTAAACTCCTTAACAGGCGTTCTGGGCTCCCAGTGATCTCACCTTAACTTACACCTCTCTCACCTCATCTCCCGTGGAACCTGTCATCACTGTTCCTTAAACACATGCATTCTCACACTTCTGTGGTTTTGATCATACTCTCTTTTTTTTTTGAGACAGAGTCTCACTCTGTTGCCCGGGCTAGAGTGCCGTGGCATCAGGCTAGCTCACAGCAACCTCAAACTCCTGGGCTCAAGCAATCCTCCTGCCTCAGCCTCCTGAGTAGCTGGGACTACAGGCATGTGCCACCATGCCTGGCTAATTTTTTCTATATATTTTTAGTTGTCCGGCTAATTTCTTTCTATTTTTAGTAGAGACGGGGGTCTCACTCTTGCTCAGGCTGGTCTCGAACTTCTGACCTCGAGCGATCCTCCGGCCGTGGCCTCCCAGAATCCTAGGATTACAAGCGTGAGCCACAGCACCTGGCCCTGCTCATATTCTCTCGTCATTCTGGGATAAATGGCTCCTTCTCCCCCATTTCTGCCAATGATTAAAATTTTATTCTTTTTCAAGGCCTACCTCAAATGCCACCTCCTTCAGGAAAGTGTTGCCAGTTGTTTGAGTTGGAATTGTTTGTTCCCTCTGTATTTCCACCTCATATCATTTTTTTTTGAATGTCACATTCATAATTGAGGTATAAGTTGCTAGGTTTGTTCCGGCGGGAACCTGAAAATTATGTATAGGACAGAATGTGGTTAATGCGAAACTTGGCTTGTAAAACAATAGCCGCAGGAGTCTGGGGAGTCCCTGGACTTTGTAGATCTCACAGACAGCTGCAGCCAGCATTCCCTACCCCTCCTTCCCTGATAGAGACGAAGGCTATCCCTCCCTAGCTCTCCTGATAAGGATGAGGTCAGAGCAGAAGGATGGATGTAACTGGGGCAAAGGGGTCGTAGGAGTTGGTCATTTGAGGAAGAATTTACTACAAATAGCTGTTCTGCCCACTTGTCCTCTGCCACATGCGAACTGCACGTAGCAGGAAGCATTTCTTCACCTGCCAGTTTGGCCCAGAAACAAAGAACTGAACAGGACTGGTGGGAGGGGGTCGGCTATCCCCATTTATAAAAACGCTCACTAAACCCTCTTTCTTCTGTGCTGACTCTCTTTTTGGACTCAGCCCATCCACACCTGGGTGAATAAACCAGCCACGTTGCTCCCACACAGCCTGTGTGTGAAATGTGTCCTTGGGGTCATTCACCCTTTCATAAGTTATATAGCGTTACCCTTTTTTGGTGTATAGTTCTATGAGTTTTGACAAACATATACAGTTGAGTAACTAACCATTACCACAATGAAGATAGAGGATATTTTCACCAAACCAAAAAGTTCCCTTGTGTCTCTTTGTAGACAGTTCCATCCTCCCATTCCTAGTTCCTGGCAATCATTGATCTGATTTCCATTTCTGTACAGTTTGTATTATTTTAATAGAGTTTTGCATTTTCTCCTATAGGCCTTGTCTGTGTTTTCATCTCTCTCCCACTGGATTGAAATCTCTTTGAAGACTGACAGGTGTAATCATTCATCTTTGTATTCTTCATTATTCAAGCACAAGTACCAAATACATTTATTATGTGTCAGATTATAAATATTTGATAAAAGAAAGGAGATAAAGGAAAAGGAAGGAAAGAAGGAAGGAAGGAAGGAAGGGAGGGAGGGAAGGAGGGAAGAAAAGAAAGAAAGAAAGAAAGAATGAGCCAGTGAACAAATGGGCAAACAGCCCTAGGAGAGTTCTAATTCAACAATAGGGCAGCCAACAGGACTCACATGCTAGTTTAATGAATTATTCTGTTACTAACTTAAACTTTAAAAGTAGCTACTTCTAAACACCTAAACATTAAATATATTAAAGTTTGAATCAGCAAAACATTTTGAAAGTATTATTTTTAGCTACTTCAGGTTTGGGAAGGAAGTTTTAATGTCAATGACACATAAATTGTAAGCTGCCTCTGATCTCCTTGCATATTTCAACACCATAACTAAGAAACGAGGCTTCTTGTCCTTGGTATACAGCAGGTACACTTAAAACTTCCAGGAAAGTTGAGGTAAGTTGGTGTTGGGGCTCAGGGCACACCACCCCAAATATGACTGCAGGAGACCAGCATATGCCATCCCAAAATATACTTCTTTGGCATATTTTGAGCTGATTATTCTAAGAAACTGCAGACACAGGAGTAGCTCTGAAAAGCTGTCCTTTTGTAAAATAAATTTACATCTATAAAGGAAATCTACGTCAATAAAGTTTCTGTATCAGAAAGAGGGCTGCTGCCGACCACTTTTATTACCTGTGAGACAATTCATCTGCTCGGCAAGAAAGCCTTTGTGCATGATGCATTTCCCCTCTTGCCCTTCTGTGTCTTACCACAGCCACCCTCAAGGTCTCAGGCCCCTATTCCTTTCTGTAGCTCAGGATGCTGTATAAGTTTCAAACATCTGACCCTTCTTAGAAACTCATATTTTATAGGACTCCCATACACAATTAAATATGGTTTTTCTCCTGTTAATCTATCTTATACTGATTTAATTCATAGCCGAGCCAAGGAACCTAGAAAGGTGGAGGGAAGCCATATTTTTGCTCCCCAACAGAGAAAAGTAATTAACATTTACCAAGTGCCCAAAAGTCATTGTACTATATGGTTTACATTCTGTTTTATTTAATTCTCACAACTATCCTCTCACATAGATTAAAAGTTAGGGGGTAATTCTGTGTTGAGAAATAAAGTTGTTAAAGGAAGTTGGGGGGTAATCCTCCAAGGACAGGGACAGATTAAAAATTGTATTTTTGGCTCAGGATGAGTTCTTAGACACTTCCGAGTTTTTATTCTGTGAAATCATCATAAGCAGGAAGAGTCATGGGCTTTTGAGTCCAGGGTAATAAACACTTTTTGGTGTCTATTTCTGATCCATACAGGGTCCTCCTGGGGTGGTGACCATATCCATTTCAGAAGTCAATATGTGAAGAAATTTTTGTGTACCATTTGATGAGATTGTCAACTAACTCACATGATGGAATTTGGGGGTTAAGGGGTGTAGTTAGTATGTGGGTAAAAATGAGAACTGCCTTCTTTCTATTTTTTGGTGTCATAGAAACTCAAAGTGATTTTGCAATCAGTCTGAGGAAATAATTTTCTTAGTTCTTAGAACAAGTTGTAAGATAAACTTTGGACAATGTATTATACTATGCCCTTTGTAATTAAATAATCCAAGATAATGTGTTAAAGTTCAGCGGAGATTTAAATTCCTGAGCTGATTAAAGAGAACTGTTCAGACTGTAAAGTTTTTAAAAAATGAGTTAATATTACTCCCGGAGTATTGTAGGCATTATAGAGTGATGAATTGCACGTCTTTATCGCTTATTACTTTCCAATCTTGCAGAACGGCTCAGAACTAAGTAACTAAAAATAAGATAGTACAATTGAACTTGAAGGCTGGGACCAAAAGACTCGAATTTTAGGCTGACTCTGGCTTGTGTCCTATCCCGGAACGTGGAGCCATTGAAGGTTGTGGGATCACGATGGAAGTGCTGTTTCACGAAGAAACATCTGATAGTGTGTGCAAATGGGCAGGGGCGGAGAAGGAATGGAGGGTACTGCAATACCCTGGCTGAGGTGATAAAAGAGGGATTGAAATAGGAATGGCAGGAAATCAAATAAGAAAATGGTAGTGCGCGCGGCCAACACTGGACAACGACTGCACCCAAGTGGGGTTGGAGGAGTGAAGAGAACTGAACGAACGGCTTCTTGTACAGGCTCCTTGACTTCCGTTCTGTCCTTAGAGCGGACGTCCTCCGACCAGCGGGGTTAGCGCAAGCCTCAAGCTGGTCAGGACAGCAAAAACCGCACGGGTGGCAGGACCCGCCAAGCGTCTCCCTCAATCCCCTTCCCTCTCCGCCCCCGCCCTCCGACTGTCCCTCAGGTTCTGACCACTCCCTCCAGTCCCCTGGTCTCCCCCCACCCCCGCCCTTGTCGGCTGCCGGCGCCGCCCTCTGTCCCTCCTCTCCCCTCCCCCTCCCCCATGGGGCGCTGACTCGCCCGGCTGCCACGTCTCACTGATGACATCACCAGGGGCGCTCGGCCTCAGCCAATCCGCTAGGGGGAGTCCGAGCGAAGTCCTGGCCAGCAAGTCAACAGGGAGGGGAGCAGGGAGGGGCGGAGGGTGGGGGGGTGAGGGAGTGGGGAATGGGGCGGGCGACAACTCCTCAAGTACGCATGCCCCAGAGGCGCGGGGCGTGGCGGGAAGCCGAGTCCCAGCCTCTGCGCCACCCCGTCTGTCCTCAGCTCTCATAGCCGCACTCGCGACTCTCTTTCCCGGCATGCCATGTGGCGCGGCCGCCCTCTGGGCCGTGTAAAGGCCCCTCGGTCTAAGACTTCCCTATTTCCTGGTTCGCCGGCGGCCATTTTGGGTGGAAGCGATAGCTGAGTGGCGGCGGCTGCTGATTGTGTTCTAAGGGGACGGAGTGGGGAAAGACGTTTGCTCTCCCGGAACAGCCTATCTCATTCCTTTCTTTCGATTACCCGTGGCGCGGAGAGTCAGGGCGGCGGCTGCGGCAGCAAGGGCGGCGGTGGCGGCGGCGGCAGCTGCAGTGACATGTCCAGCATGAATCCCGAATAGTGAGTGCAGGAGAGCACCGGTCGGCTGGGTCCGTGGGCCCGCTTGGGGAAGCTTAAAGGGGACGAGGAGGGCTGGGGCGCGGGTTGGGGCCTTGGCTAGGGTGAGGCACGGGTGATGGGGCAGAAGAGGCTGGCGGCCGGCAGTCGGGCCCCATTGTCTGACGCGGAGGGGCGGCCGGGGGGAGGGGTCGGGCCGGAGGGGTGAGCCGCCCGGGCCTGGACCAGGTCGGGTTGGAGGGCCTGAGTGCAGGGTCGGTGCGGAGGAACAGTCTGCTGAGGGGGTTGGGGCGCTTGAGAGTCGGGCGGTGGGGTGGTGTGTATGGACAGCTTCTCTCGGAGGCAGTGACTTTTGAAGAAGGACTTGTTTTTAAGGGGAGGGGACGTGGTGGGAGAGCTCTCCTAGAGGGCTCTGTCAGACCCTGCGCCCGCACTCTGCGGAGCTGTCAGGATCGTCAGGGTGGAAACCAGCTTTACCTGTATACACTGAGCTTGTTGGCTCGCTCTCCTTCCACCGTCCCCGTCAGGTTTCAGGTAATATGGATGCTTTTTGGGACTGCGTGGGATTGAGGGGAATGAGTAGATGGTGAGAAACGTTTCAGGATTTGTAGTTCACTTTTTGAATTGTCTCTTGGAAGAGTTCTTTAAGAACTCGGCAGGTCCATTGGCCTCCTAAAACCTGGGCTTTTGTGAGAAGTTTTTTTTTTTTTAGAGGACACTTAAGTCATTTTGTCTTCTGTAGGTCAAGAAAAAATAAAACAACTAAAACCAAGGAATGTCTTTCTGATACTACCAAATAAAAGGAAGACTGCTGTCAAGTTGCAAGAGAAACGAGTGGGACCTATGATAGTCTGTAGGTTTTGGATTACCTACTTGAATGCTTGCAGATAGGGAATGAGGTTCCATGACGTGTCATGAAAAGTTAATGCATTTCTTTTTCTTGCTTACTCCAGAAGTCACCACAGCAGATGTGACACACCTGGCACCTTTCCTGGGAACTGGTGTTCACTTTCCTTGGGAAGACTCTCTTGGGCTCTCCTTCATGGCCCTTTAAAAAATCCTCCTACAGTTTACATATAAATTAATGAATAAATGGAGGAGATTGAACTGGTATTCCTCTTCAGTGTCAGAAGCCTCTGAGGGATGGGGGAACTTTTTTAAAGGAAAAATCAGCATTTGTCCCCAAAATTGAGTTTATTTGCTGCTTTGGTCAATTACTGCTAAATATTTCCCCCTAAAAGGTCCACCCATCAGTTTAGCTGACTGTCATGTGTGTGTCACATGGCTCTTGCAAAATGCATTCTTACTTCAGGTTTTGTAATACTGTGGTTTGATGCTGAAGTCTTTTGTACTGAACAGAAACCGTAGTGTTTTATTAGAATTTTATATACTTTAAGAAGCTGAGGATGGTGTTCTTATAGTGACACATTTACTGTGTTGACCATTTTTTTGTTTTTTTATCAAGGGCTCCAAGGATGAATTTGGTTTTGCATAGTTGAGCAGAGTTGGACTTGAGGTTCTTAATTTAGTAGTTTTCCTGGCAACAATAAAGAACATGGATTTGCTGCTTTATAGAGGTTTGTAAACCTCTGCTGTTCAGGGAGTTTCCTATATTTGCTATTTATAATTTAGTACTGTAAATAGATCTTGAAGATTAGTTGAACAGAACTTTGACAAGGTACTAAGCCTCTGAATTTGTTTCTCCTTTTGTCAAATAGAATAATAATAGGAGTCATTATTCCTATCAGGGTAGTGGGGAGATTCAAATGTATGTAAAAAAAAATTTGGAAAACTAAAAGCACTCTTTAGTTGATATACATCATTTGCATGTAAGGCATTCTAGTAATGCTACAATTTAGGGATTTAATCCTTACCCTCAAGGAGCTTATGACGGAATATAGAAAACAGATTTTATACATATTAAACACCAGTAGATATAGCAAGTTTCAGATGTGTAGCATGGATCAAAGTAACAGGATTTCAGGAGGATAGCGGGTTGTGGTTGGCTGTTTGGATTTTGGAAGACTTTCTAGGAAAGACCTGTCAGGGAATTATTAGCAGTTAGATTTGGAGGAGCAGAAGATAGCAAGGGGGATTTTTCAAGGGGGAGAAGGAAGAGGAATGGCCAATAAATGACAGTAATTCTTAAGTAAATGTAGTGTCAAATTATCCTTTTGAGGACTCTATAGATTAATGACCCCAACAGAATCAAACTCAGGAATAGATTTTATGTTTTTTCTGGCACTGAGTACACAAATATCTGGCCTACTGTATTTGTATTCTAGACTGTCTAGTAAAATAATCCAGGAATTTTGGAAAACCTTTGCAAAAGTGTTAGTGAAAATTACTTAGGGTGAGAGGAGGTGATGGATATTTTATTAAGGAAGATCATAAGAGCAACCAGATTATTAGCAATCTGACTTCAGCAGTTTCTTTTGTATTTAATAAAGTTTGTTGTCATTGTAAAAGTAATTAGGAAATTTGGAAGAGGAAAGAAAGTAGTTCTTTAGCGTTTTATCACCCAAGTACAAGTCCATTTTCTTTAACATGATGTCCTAAACTTTAAAATCTTATGCTTTCCCTTAAATTAAAACTTTTAATGGATGAGTGCTTTTCCTGATTCCAGTATGTTATCTCAGTAACTAATGAATGATATATTAGCTAATGTTTATGAGTGTACCCCAGATGTTTCTTAACTTGCTTTGGTTTACCATTACTAATTTATCTTGTTCCTTTTAGAAACTTAAAATCTGCCTAAATTTGGTAATGAAAATGGGATCTTGACAAGAGAAAAGGTTTGGTTCTTTCAGATGGATTAGGATTTTTTAGATACATGTTAATGACATAAGATTACCTGTTGGTAGCTTTATTACTGAATGCTTTTACTTTATGATTTTTAAGTTGTAAGCTTTTGGTTTAGGTGTAAAGAGCCAAATATATTAATAATGATTAAATTTTAAGCTCTCCCTTTGATTGCTTTCCATGTTAATTGGGCTGATTTGGGAGAAATGACAACTCAAGGTTATCTTTAAGGTAGAAATTAAGGGTACTAACTTGTTTGCCTTTCAGCTACAAACAAAAAAGCAATTCGAAGTGTAATCTGAGCGGTAGAAAAAGTAGCTGAAAAGGGTCAAAGCTTTCTTTTTTCTGGAGATCTGAAGAAAGATTTTGATTTTCTGAGCTAGGTGGTGAAGCAGGCGGTGATTATTTCAACACACTAGTTAAGAAATACTTAACATTATTTTCATACCAGAAACGTTTTTCATAATCCATTGGCTTCTAGTGGATTTTTCTATAGTGTCAAGAAAATCATTTTAGCTGCTTTGTCTTTAAGGAAAGTGTTAAGAATAAAGGATGTGTTGTACCTATCTTGAATATACCAGTTTACTATAGTAGAAAGAAATACAGTAGTCTCCTTGGATCAAGTGTAATTCTTTAATGTAGAAAAATTTTAAAGGAATTACCTTGTGTTTAACCCCTTCCCTCCCCACCAAAAAAAAAAAAAAATACAGCTCCAGAGTCTCAAAATTTTGTCAGTGTTTCAAACTTTGCTCTTCTGTTATAGTAGACTCAAGCAACATTTGAATTTTTTCTTTGGCCAGCACTGTCAAATAAGTCTTTTTTTTTTTTAACTTAGGTGTTTTACTTAAGTAAAAGCAAGTTAATTAGTTTTGTTATCTGACTGTATAATTTAATTAATATCATTACTTGCTTTCATACAGTTTTTTGTTAGAGTTTTGTATTAGAAGAGAAGCAGAAATCAAATAAAAGTAAGGGAATTTTTGGGGAGTTGGTTGTCTTCATGACTTTTGGTGGTGGTGATTTGAAAAACTCAGAAGAGTTTAAAGAAACATAATTAGTATTCTCATTGTCTAGAATATGAGTTTTTGACATGTGTAGAAGATCAACATCTGTAATTCTTTGGGTAATTATAAGTTTCCAGTAGCTGTATAGAATCTCCACAAAATACATCTGAAGAGTTTTATATGATTGAGATGATCTTGTAGGACCATTTCAAGATATGAACTAAAATTTTGCATTTTAAAATTTCCCTTTTCATCGTAATTAAGTTAAAATGAGGGATATTAACCGTCAAATCTTAGGTTTTATTTTTTTTTAAATGTTGTCTTAAAGATGGAAGAGCTTCAAATTAAGTGTTCTCTCTGGCTTTTAAAGAGAATTTCGCTTTCTGAGTAATTTTATTTCTTAGATATTTGATAGCAATCTTAATAATTCTGGAAGCAATCTTAATAATTTACCACATGCTAACATCTTATTATATTCAGATATTGGCAATCTTTTGGCTATGTGTATGTGTGTGTGTGTTTTCTCTCCTTGGTAGTTTTGATTGTACCTGTATGATAGTTTCACTGTTTTTAGTTGTAATAGTTTTATTTTTGATAGTATAGAATAGCTTTCTTTTGCTAAAGGTATCTAATGTTGCATCCCTCCTAATAATGAACATATTTAGGGTAAAACAAAATGCTTTTTAAGGTTTTGAGATTTTAGAAATTTGCTAATAAACTACCAGTGTCTTAAGATGAAGAAAAACCTGAAAATGGGTGTAGGGTGTAGCTCAGATATGTAGCTTATCAGCTTTTTACCACTCTTTGTCAGAACTACTTTGTAGTTTTAGTAAGAGATTTAGGCAAAATGCCCAGATTTTTTTTCTACCCTTAGAAGGAGAGGGGACTGGTCAGACTATTTCTGTTTTCCTGTGGAAGGTGGGACTGAGATTGCTGCTTTGATGTCTGAAATAGAATACAGGGAAGAAAACCTAGGTCCTTGCTTTTCATTGGAACCACCCTGGGTGTGTTTCAGATTATAAGAGGGTAATGATGGAATGATGTTTGGGAAAGAATGGTCTTGAGACCCTGACGAGCCAGAGAACTAAGTGGTAGTTTGTTGGCTGCCTTAACCATGTGAGAAATAGGGTACAGAAGAAGCAGGAAATGAAGTTTTCTTTGGTATTTTTGTGACTGGTTGACTCAGTTGACCAAAAC